GCAGGACTTTATGAAAGTAGATAGGACCCTGGATTGAGAGACTTCTGTCTGGTCTGTGTGGTTACAGCCTCCAAGTCCTGTAGACCTACAGACCCTGACCCAGGCATCCTGACTGATCTTTACCTTCAACCAGTGCCTTGGCCAGAATCTCGTCTCCCTTCTCAGAATTCTACACCTCCCAAATAGTAGAGTGTGTCTTTCCCTCTAAAGCTCTTCCTGGTGGAATTTAGAAAAAGCAGAACTATTTAATAATTTAGTACAAGTAAGATTTGATTGATAAACTGTATTTTTCCAGAAAATTTTTTTTTTCATTCTCGCTATTGCTTTTTGAGTCAGTTTTTCTTCTCTGACCTCCAGATCACCTACCCCACTGATCCCATCTCTAATGAGACTGAGGTTAGGAACTGACACCCTATCCTACTTAAGGGAATCTGTTTCTACTATGGGAAATGCCAATGAAGACAGAGGAATCATCAAGATGCATGTCCCCTTTTCAGTAATGGAAATGGCTCAGGGTAAGGAAAGTTTTGGTAGCTGCTCAGAGAACCCTGGCAGATTCAAGGATGAATTCCTTAAGTTAACTTTTGTCTTGACGTGCAGGGGTATTATTGCAGCATTAACTCGCGGTCACACCCTGATAAAAGGCACGAGTTCTTCAGAAGACTGCGGGTGTAGCTGACCACCAAGCACCCTGGACAGAATGTTCAGTGACCTGGGGAAGATGCAGTTCCCTGTAGAGATTCCATTTGGGACCCTGCAAACTCCAACAATTAAAGCAAGAATGGAGCATCTTGTAACCCGTGTTTCTGATGGAATGAAGGGAGGTTTAGTCGAACACGATAATTATAAAAGTAAGAAGGTCGTCTGAGAAAGTCAAGAAAATCCTGCAGTTCTTCAACTGCTTATCAGAGACTTTCTGAAAACACACCAACACTGATTCAGAACCAGGGGAGAGAAGGGCCTTAGTGGTTGTGTGTTTCATGACAGAGGTTGCCACAGCTATACGGGGACGTAACAAAAGGTTGAAGAAGGACCCCGCATCCTGCTGCTGCCCTTGATAGAGGAGGCCTTAGCAGTCTATGAAAAACAGACTGGGCAGCTTTTTGGCTGTCCCGATTTGACCATCCCAGGTAACCCACAGCTCCCTGAAGATCTACAGCAGCCAACTTCCAATGGGAGCCCTGGGGCCTGGGTAAAAACCAGTGTGCCCACCTGAGAAAGAAGGGTGCTAGAAGGGAGGTTGCCCAAAACACCCTAAGGAGGGCAGGCCGGACAGCATCCCACTTCAAGCCCAAATCTGGGCCCGATCCCACAATGGGTAAGATCAGCCCTAGACTGAAAAGAGGTCCAAGGATACTTCAGGCTCCAGTGCACTCAAGAAATATCACCTTTAGGTCAGTGGAGCTTTGGGTGACCCTTGATGTGGCAGGGACCCTTGGGTCACCTCTTCTGTCCTGACTCAAACTATTGGCCCTCTTCCCATTGTTGACTGACCCATGAGGCAGGTAAGAAGTGTCACTTTCCCCTCAGCTGTGAACCTTCCATGTTAAACTGGATACCTTTGTTTTCCTAAAGGGAGAACAAATACAAGTTTCTGTAGACCTGAAAAAGGGATTCATTTACCAGCTCTCCTTGACGATTCTAAGTCCTAACACATTCCTGATAGCCCACTAGATTACAGTTTAAGCATGGATTAGGTTATTAAAGAGATTTCTATAGATTCAATGCAATCCACACCAAAAACAAACTTCTACTTTTACTTCGCAAAAGTAGAAGAAACAGTCCAAAAATTCATATGAAAGAATAAAAGACCCAGAATAGCCAAAGCAATATTGAGCAATAAATGTGAAAGCAGAGACATCATAATATCCCATCTCAAATTAGACCACAGCTATCGTCACAAAACGGCATGGCATTGGCATGAAAACAGACATGAAGGCCAATGGGATAGAATAGCAGACACAAATAAATATAGACACAGTCATCGGACAGTCTTTGAAACAAATGGTGCTGGGAAAACTGGTTATCCACATGTAGAAAAATGAAAATGGATCCTTATCTCTCATCCTCCACAAAAATCAATTCAAAGTGGATCAAAGACCTTGAATTAGCTGAGAAACACTGCAACTGCTAGAAGAAAGCATAGAGTCACACTCCAAAACACTGGTACGGGTAATGACTTCCTTAGTAAAACTCCCAAAACTCAAGAAATAAAGTCAATAATCAATAAGTAGGATGGCATCAAATTAAAAAATTTCTGTACAGCAAAAGAAACAGCATGTGAAGAAAGAGCTTACAGAATAGGAGAAAATCTTTTTCAGCTACTATTCCAACAAGGGATTAATATCCAGAATGTATAAAAACCAAAAACATCTTAACACCAAAACCCCACAATTTCCACAAACAACCCAATCAATTAATGGGAAAATGAGCTAAATAGTCATTTCTCAAAAGAACAAATAAAAGAGACCAATAAATAAATGGAAATATTCAACATCTTTATCAATCAGGGAAATGCAAATCAAAACACACTGAGATTTTATCTAACTTCAATTAGAATGGCAATCATCAAGAATACAAATATAATTTTTGGAGTGGATGTGGGAAAAAAGGTACATTTTTACCCTGTTTGTCGAACTGAAAATTAGTACAAACATTTTGGAAGGCAGTTTGAAGTTTCCTCAAAAGACTAAGAATGGAACCACCATGTGGTCCAGTAATTCTGCTCCTTGGTATTTATCTAAAACAACTAAAATCAGTCTATTATAGTGATATAGGTACCAATTCACAATAGCTAAGTTATGGCTCTGGTGCCTGTCAGCAGACAAATGGATGAAGAAAATGTGGTATATATACACAATGGAGTTTACTTACTCATAAAAAAGAATGAAAATTGTCACTTTCTGGTAAACGGATGAAACTAGAGAATATTATGCTAGGTGAAACAAAACAGACTCAGAAAGTCAAGGGTCCAATGTTTTCTCTCATATGTGGAAGTTAGAGAGAAAGAGTGGATAGGAGAAAAGAGGGAAAAAAGAGGGATCTCAGGAAAATAGAAGGGAGACCAAGAGAGTAGCGGTGGAGAGAAGGGCATGGGAGGTGCTGGGAATGAAATCTACCAAATTTCGCTATGTCCATGTACAGATGAATCCTGCTTATAAGTAATATTATCCTATACTAATTAAAATAACAACAATAAAAGTAAAAATAGAAGGGAGATCAGTAGATTAAGTAAATCAGGGAAAAGGAGATGGGGAGGTAAAGGGAATGTACTGGAGAGTGAGATTGATCAAATTATATACTTTGCACATGTATTCATACATGCACAAAAGTGAATTCCAGTATTATGTATAACTATAATGCACCAATAAAAATAAAAATAGAGAGCAAGAGATTTCTTTGGTAGAAACTCATTAGATTATGTTAATCTTTCTTTCTTTTTAAAAATATTTTTAGTTGTAGATGGACACAATATCTTTTTTTTTTTTTAATGTGGTGCTGGGAATCGAATCCAGTACCTTATACATGCTAGGCAAGCTCTCTACCACTGAGCCACAACCTCACCCCAGATTATGTTAATCTTATTGTCCAGTAAAGAAACCTAATGGGGAATACTGCCCAGGTCCTGGGGGGCCCAAATATCGCTACCCTCCCACTCCATTCAGAGTCACAATAGATTTTTACCTTCAAATGGTGTGATCCTGACTAAACAGGAAGCTACTGTGTGTCCTCAGGGATTTAGGGACAGCATCCATCTTCTTGGCCATGCTTTGGCTAAGAAATGGGATTCTGTTATAATCTGCAGGTGACTTATTATTGGCACCACTTACACCAAGTGGCCCCCAGTCATGTTAAACTGATGATCACACAGGGTTTGCAGCCTAAATCCTCAGGAGAGGATTTGGAGCTCTATGCTGGGTGCTGCTTCTCTTGGGCTGGCGTGTGAGCCCCAGTAGAGCCTCACTGGGATGGAACTAGTTGCCTTTTCCTGATTTCCATCTCACACGGAGCAAAGGAACCCAGGCCCGAGGTCATTTCTGGTGAGTCAGGGTCACACAATTCCTCGAAAGCAGGTAATATCAAAACCCATCAAGTTCTGTGTCAAATTCTATGAATATTTCAACAAAATTGACACAGGTTGGAAATCATAATATAGAGCTCATATGTATTATTATATGAATACTCTTATAATCATTATAACTATTACTGGAATGTAATTTAATATTATTAATTAATTATATTATGTATTATGAAAAGTATATGTAAGTTGCTGTAGGTGTTGCACATCTGGGACAATGGGACAAAATGAGTTTTTAAAAGCTGGGTTGATTGGTAACCGTACAGTTTATTTATTTGAATATTTTTCATCCACGGATGAAACCACCAGATCCAGAGGGCCGACTGACAAGTGAATGGGAGCACCTTCTGACTTCCAGTAGTTGATTTCCTTACTCATTGACTCCACAAATGCAGTTGAGGCTAGATGCTGGATGAATGAAGTGCTTGTCCCACCCGGTGCTCACAGTCAGGCTTTAGGTACCATTCGTGATGATGAAGCCGCAGTGAACACACAGCCACAGAGGACAACAGGGTAAGGGGTGGAGGGGTGATGCGATTTTGCACAGGAAGGCGAGGGAAGGCTTCAAGGCAACGGTTGTGAATACCTCAGGGAGGGGTGGGCAGTGGCCTCTGCTGAGGAAAGGGTGCCTTGGGGAAGGAGCAGGGGTGTGTGAGGTACATTTCTGGGCAGAAAGAAATAGGATATGAAACCCCTGTTTTAAGGGGGTCATTAGGCCTTCCAGGGTTTGCCTGAAGGAATGTTCAGTGAACAGAGCCATAGAGAAGCAAATCTAAAAGTTTTGAGTTTTCTTATTAAAAAATCTAGGAAGAAAATTTCCATCATCAGGGGAAGCGTTGAGATGATTCCCTGGGACCATCTTCAAGGGATTCTCTCTGTCGGGGCTCCTGACTGTTGGTGACCCCTTGGTCTCCTCCTTTAGCTTACAGCAGGCTGGACCTCAGATCTCCACTTCCTGTGTCCTCTGGAAATTACCAGGAACAATGTCCATCTTGTATGTGTTGATAATGGGTATGTCAGCCTTCACCGTTCAGCCCGAAGAGCACACAGGTAAGAGCAAATGCTGTGGGGCAAGGGCTGGCCTGTAGCTTCTGTGGGGGAAAAGTTCTCTAGTGAGGTTTTCTTATTATCAAAAGGCAAGATATAAATATGCATGCCTTGGTAGGTGGCAGGGGCTTCTTGCTCATCCTGTGTGCTGCAACCTGGGTGAGGGTCCTGCCAAGAAACTAAGCAAAGAAGTGGTGGGCTTGCCCTTAGCACATGGTTCCTTTGAGTTTTAACCACACAGCTTGTCAGAAGTAAGATTTTCCATCTGAATTTAGCTGACATCTATTTTTTAATGTCAACAAATAAAAAACATGGCCAAAATTTTGAAATTTTTTTTTTTTTTGGGGGGGGGGGTTGTCACAAAGTAACCTGATTTAACTTTCCCAACAGAATGTGAATTAGAATTGGGAGTAGCCCTGAACTTGTCATTTGAGATTGCAGCAGAGGGTGTTCATGGCCTGTGGGTGCAGTCGCCTTCTCTCAGGACATGGGACATCTTCTTCAGACGTGCTATGTCCCTCTGTCAGGACCAGCCTTAGTCTGGGACCCAGGGAGGTTCTGTGATCTGGGGAAGTTTGGGGCCTAAAGCCTGACTGTCACTTCTTTGTCCTTCAGTGGCTGCAGGAGACTGCCAGTTTCGTGGCAAGCATTACAAAACAGAATTCAGGGTGGAAGGGGAGCCTGTGGTTCTGAGGTGCCCCCAGCTGTGGTCTCAGTTTGGGGCCTCCATCAGCCCCCAGGCCCTTCTGACCTGGCGTAAAAACAACTCGGCTCAAATGATCCCAGGAGAAGGGCCACGGATGTGGACAGAGGACGGCACTCTCTGGGTTTTACCAGCCTTGAGGGAGGACTCCGGCACCTACATCTGCACTGTCAGGTGGGCCCCTGTGGGGTGGGTCTGGGTAGTGGGGCTCTAGCAAAAGTGGACCCTTGGGCTGTGCTTTTTTTGGGGGGGGCTCACGTTTCAGGGGTCTTAGTCCATTGACAACCTACTCCATTCCTCGGGGCTAAAGGTGAGGCAGGACATCATGGCAGGAATGTGTGGCAGAGGGAAGCAGCTCACATGATGATGAGGAAGCAGAGAGAGACTCCACTCAGCTGGTACCAAATATATGCCCCAAAGGCACACCCCCAGTGCCCCTCTTCTCCAGCCACACCCTATCTGCTTGCAGTTAGCACCCAGTTAATCCCTAACGGATAAATTTACCGATTAGGTTAAGGCTCTCATAACCCCAGCTTTTCATCTCTAAACCTTCTTGCATCCTCTCACACAAGAGCTTTTGGGGAGCAGTTCATATCTAAACCACAAAAGGAGCTTCTTCCATGATAGTCTGGATCTCAAAATCCAGTGCACAGGTAAGAATCCACATTATATTCATCTCACTGCTCCTGACATACCCCTCACCTGGCCATTCTCCTGGCTCCCTCCCTTCTTTCATCTATTTAGACTTTGCTCAAATGTCACTGCTTGGGAAGGGGCCTCTCTAGTCATGTCAGCGGACACAGCAAGCACTCTGTCCCCTCTCCTTGCCCTGTGCTATTCCTTTCCATAGCCCTTTCCCCATCTGACACATCTGTGTGAGTTTATGGATTTAACATTTGTCCATCTATCAGAAGAACATAAGCCCCTGGGAGAGTAGGGACTTGGCCTGTTTCTTTCGCTGATGAGTCCACGTGATAGGGATGCAAGAAATAAGGTAGAATCCTGAGTGGAATTTTAGAGCTGGATGGGTTCTTACGAATGAATGAAGCTGACTGCTGATTGTTTGGACAAGGGAACCAAATTTGCTCAGACAGCTCTTCCAGTGGAATCCTTGAGCCCGGAATGGTCCTCCCTTATTTCTACCCTGGTGTTTTTTTTTTTGTTAGAAATTGTAGTAAAATACACATAGCATTAAAATTTGCCACTGTAACTAATGTCAAGCATACAGTTCAGGCGCATTAAATATGTTCACTTTGTTGTGCAGCCATGACCACCATTTGTCTCCAGAATGTTTTCTTATTCTCACACAGAAAAACTGTCCCAATTAAACAACAGCTCCCCATTCCCTCCCCATCCTCAGCCCCGGGAAACCACCATTCCAACCATTCCTCTCTAGGAATTTGAAGGCTAGATACTTCACCTAAGTGCGGAGATGCAGGATCTGTTATTCTGCGACTAGCTTATTCACTCAGCCTAGTGTCCTTGAGGTTCATCCATGTCACAGCCTGTGCCAGAATTTCCTAAGACCGAGTAATGTTATTCCACATTCTGTCTAAACATTTATGCATCTGGAGACACTTGGGTTATTTTTGCTGTATAGGTCTTCTGAATAATGCCAATCTGAATATGAGGTATGCAAATATCTGTTCAAATCCCTACATTCAATTTTTCTTGGTCTGTATACCCAAAAGATCATATGGCAGTTCTGTTTAATTTTTTGAGGAACTGCCATGCTGTTTGTCACAGTGGCTGTGCCATTTTACATTCTTACAAGGGTTCTATTTTTCCATGTACTTGCCAACACTAGATATTTAAAACATAATTCTATTTATTTGTTTATTTATCTATTATAATTGCCACCCTGATGTGTGTGTGAAATGGTGTCTCATTGTGGTTTTTGAATTGTATTTTGCTGTCTCATTGTGGTTTTTGAATCGTATTTTGCTCATTATTAGCATTTTCTGATGTGTTTCTTGGCCATTTGTGTATCTTCTACGGAGAAGTATCTATGCAAGTTGCCCATTTTTAAAATTGTATTTGTTGTTATTGTTGAGTTGTAGGATTTATTTATATATCCTGATATTAACCACTTATCGGATATGTAACTCGCAAACATTTTCTCCCATTCTATGGGTTGATTATTCACTCTAATAGTGTCCTTTGATGCATATACTTTTTTTTTGATTTAATTTTTTTAACTTGTTTTAGTTAGTTATACATGACAGTAATTCCAGTTTACCTATTTTTTTCTTCAGTTGCCTGTGCTTTTGGTGTTACGAACATCACTGCCAAATCCAATGTCATGAGGGTTTTGCCCTGTTTCTTCTAGGAATTTTGTAGTTTAGCCCTTACATTGGGTCTTTCCTCCATTTTGAGTTAATTTTTATGTAAAGTGGGAATGAGGGTCCAGCTTCATTTTTCATGTGTTTATCTGGTTTTTCCAGAATCATTTGTTGAAAAGACTGTCCTTTCCCCACTTGAAGGATAAAGTTCTAGGCCTGCTGGAGGTGATATTGAAAGTTTCCTGCCTTAGTTCTTCTGAAAGGTTAGGGCAGCCCCTTAGCTTGACTGGGAAAGAGCATTTCTGGACTTTCCTCTTTAGCTGCTGTCTTCATCTCTCCCCAGGGTTCTGTTCACCCCCTTCCACCAACTGCCTTTAGAGTCCTTGAAGATTCCATAAACTCATGCAAGGAGTTATCGTACCCAGGAATATTTATATGTAGAATGAAAACCAAAGAAATTGACATTCTTAGAACAGGGAATTACTGGTGAACAGAAGAGCTGCAGACATCAGTCCCAGACCTAGGTAGTGTGTGTAAGTGAGAGAAAGAAAGAGAGATGGGGTGGAGTGTGGGGAGGGAGAGAGAGAGAGAGAGAGAGAGAGAGAGAGAGAGAGAGAGAGAGAGAACGATAGTTTGTGTGTGTGTGTGTGTGTGTGTGTGTGTGTGTGATGGTGAGAATCTTCAAATCAATCCCATCCTGTCACTACCGTCTATACACCTAGCTCCTGCTGTAATTTGGGGCCAGGTTCAAACCTGTCAATGAACTTCACCTGGGAAGCAGGCAAGCAATCTTCTACTTCCATATCAAGGAAACCTGGATGTGTGATTTCAACGCATACTTTTTCTGTCTTTTTTTCAGGGTAAAAAAATTCTAACTTTCTCTCAGGGGCATTCTTTGGAAAACATAATGGTATAGTACAAAGAAATGAAACTTGGGGGTCAGAAAAACAGAGGAGAATCTTAGCCCTTCTCTTTCTATCTGGTTGGAACCTTGGTCTTATTACGTGACTTTTATGGGTCTCAGTTTTCCCCCTGTAAAGAGATTTCTTAAGATGGCTATGTGAGGTAACAGCATGGGAAGAATTCATGGGGAAAGCCCAGGTTGATGGTTAATAAATATGGAAATGCCTAGTCCTTCTTAAGGCAGTACTTAGGTCTACTGATGTGACACTATGCAAACATCAAGGAGAGGTGAGCAAAGTCACATTTGTTTTAAAGTTAGTTTTTATACTGGATTTTAAAAAAAAATCATAGTTAGTGCCTTGGTTTTATTTTTGTAGGAAAATAAGAGATCTAAGACTGAGGGGCAGTGGAAATCCCAATGTGTGCCAAGTTTTCTTTGCATGTGGGAAAGTTTACCTCGTTGACCTCCAGGACTCTCTTTCAACTGTAAGAGTGGATTTAATAGGGTGAAAATCACCAGCAGTTGCCATAACATTCTTTGGCATTTATAGTCATAGGGCATAAGACTGCCCCATCCTGTGACTTTTATGATCTTGTGATTTAGAACCCATGTAGCCTTTCTGTCACTCAAAATAGTCAAAATGATACTGCTGGAACAAGCAGCCCCCCAAAATCTCTGTTTCTTGCCCAAGGGGAATTACAAGATCAATGATGTGAACAAGTTTGTGACTCTAGTTATGTCTGGTAAGTTTGGTTTGCCCTAATTTATGGTTTTTTCCCAGAAACCCACAGGGTTTCCAGACTTGATTTCATTTCTTTGTAGCTACACAGCCTTAGGAAATTCATTTTTGTTATTAATTTCCCTCATCTGAAAATGATACAATAACCCTACCTCAGAGGACAAATGAAATGATGCAGGTAGAGCACCCAGCTCAGGACCTGGCATGTGCCAAGTCGCTGTGACCAGGTCTTGATGATGATTGTTCAGGTGTGCACTGTTCTTTGAACCTGTCCCCATTTGCATTTCTTTAACCTGTAGTGAAATTATATAATTTTAAAGGTGAGAGTTAATTTTTTTGCATTTCTTTGTGCATATAAGGTTTGTTTATCTATTTTTCCTTTTTTTCCCTCCAAACCAGATATGAAATATAATACAGATACTGACTGGCCTTATACATTTGAATTAATTATTTTTTACTTTCAGATAGTAAGTTCTTATCACATTTCTTTCATGTATTTTTCACACTTTGTAGCTTCTTTGAATAGATGTTGTTATATATTTTTCTGGGCAAGTAATTTTCACCCCACATACAAAACCCATCCTCATTGCCTCTGTTGATATGTAACGTGTCTTAGGTAGCTAGGAACTTAGCTGAGATAATTGTGTTTTTCTACTTTATTGTATATTTTGGATGCTGGGATTGAACAGAGGGTCTCACACATGCTAGGTGAACACTCTGCCACTGAGCCCCAGCCCCAACCTTTTTATTTTGAGCCGGGGGTCACTAAGTTGGTGGGGGTCTCACTAAATTGCTGAGGCTGGCCTTGAACCTGCTGTCCTCCTAAGTCTTGGTATCGCAGGCATGTGCATCATGCCCAGTTTAGTTAAACCCTTTTGAAGAGGACTTGGGGATTTCTTATTGGCTTTGAATGGTATTGAAATCAGGCTCATGAAGGGTCCCTTGGTGAAAAGTGTAGGTCACGTTACTGCTTCTGTATAGCAATTAGGATGTTATGTTCTTTGTACCTAAAGATTTAAAAGAAACAGACAAAACTAACCAAGAAAATGCAGACTCAGAATTTGGAAGGGTTGGGGAAATTATTCTTAATTTCGTTTACTTTTACTTTGTTTTGCCATTCATTTTCTCCCCCCCTTTTTAAATCAGAAATGCTTCTCACTGTGATGAAATGTCCATTGAACTCAGAGTTTTTGAGAACACAGAAGCTTCCCTACCGTTCATCTCATACTCGCAAATCCTAACCTTGTCTGCCTCTGGGTTGTTAGCATGCCCTGATCTGAGGGAATTCACCCGTAACAGAACTGACGTGAAGACTCGGTGGTACAAGGTACAGCTCTGAAAATTCCATTTTATTAAAATGTGTTTGGACAGTCATAGAAAAGATATATAATATCCATTTCTGAAGACAATACTTTCACTTGTATTCATATGTGTATATATCATATACTTATATCTTTGAAATGTGTATATATTAAATGATTAAAAATGGTTATAATTAATGTCTTCTTTACATGGCTTGAGAAATATTCCTCAAAATTGTGATTTGTGAAGTCAGAATTTAAAATGAATCCAGAGTAGGAAACAGCTAAAAAATAAAAATAGATTTTTACTTGGTCATTTGTTATTTTATGTGACAATTGTATATATTTTTAAGTTTTTTTTAAAGCACCTGACAATTAATCTTTGGGCTAAAGAAGTAAATATGAACACAGGTTTCCCCCCTCACTGGTTGAATAAATATAAAATATTATAATGGTTCTTAGTGAGATCATTGGAAAGTTAAAGAGCTGGCTCTTAGACAAATCAGCAGGGAGCTATGTGTAGACCTCACCTGTTTTTGTGCAATTCATAAGCTAAGGATAGTTTTCACTTTTAAAAATGTTTTTTAAAAAAATGGAATAAGAATGTCCCATGGCATTAACTGTTATCTAAAATTCAATTTTCAGTGTCCATAAGTAAAGTTTTACTGAGACTCAGCCATGGGCATTTGTGGATGCACTGTCTGTGGCTGATTTCACACTGCAGAGGACCAGGCAGACTGTGAGCTTCCAGAAATATTTACTATCTGGCCCTTTCCTGAAAAAGTTTGCCAATATTTGACACAGGCCATCGACCGGTAACTGAAAACTATATCTACAGATAGATATATATATAATCGGTTAACACTGGAAACTATGAGATGATTTTCTGAAAGTAGATATTAGCCATCTCCTATGATGAAGCCCAGTCAGCTGTATAAGACTTCTCTTTTTTTAGAAAGAGCTTGAAGGGGGCAAATAAAAGATTTTTGCCTGGAGAGGAAAAGAGCACAGATCTGGAGAAAATAGGTCTGGATTTAAACCCTGTTCCTTCATTTAGCCTAAGCCAAACTACTTTCTTTCTTTTTTATTTCTTTTTCCCTTTGGGACCAGGGATTGAATCCAGTGATATTGAACCACTGAGACACCTCCCCAGCCCTTTTTTAATTTTAATTTTGAGACAAGGTCTCACTAAGTTGCTTGGGGCCTTGATAAATTGCTGAGGCTGGCTTTGAACTTGCAATCCTCCTGCCTCAGCCCATTGAGCTGCTGGGATTAGGGGTGTGGCCACAGTGCTGGGCTACTTCACCTCTTTAACTTGTTTCTGTTGTAAAACAGCATTTAGTTAATCTGCTTTGAAGATTCAATGGAGTGGTGTGTATGAAGCGCTTAGCTCAGTGCTTGATGGATAAAGAGGCTGGACGGCACTGGCTCCCTCCATAATTAAGCTAAGCATTACTGAGCGTGCACTATGTCCAGGCTCCTTCTAACCTTGCCAACAAGTAGCCCAGACAAGCAGGGATTGTTGATCTCTCCGCTTCCCAGATGACAGGAAACATAAGGAATTTACCCAAGGTCTCCCGGCTGCTGGGTGGTGAAGGCCAAACCCTAACCCTGTTCCCCACATAGCATTGGAACAACTACCTTGCATATTTGACTACTCACGCTAGGAAACACGAGATCCCTCCTTTTAATTAGATGTATGATAAAGCAATACTGCGTGAGCCGTGTGGCTAACTATTTCAGTTTTGTCTGTGTCATTTCAGAGTAAGATTCTGAAATGACTCATGATTTCATTTGACTATTGGAAGCTTTGGTTTTGAAAGAGATGTTCCCCAGGACATGGTGTTCTCATTAGGATGTTTTCTTAAATTTTATTCCACTTCTCTTAGTGTATTGGAGGTCTCATTCTTGTGGGTTCTATTCTTCAGAGAATCCACAGAACTTGGTGTTTATAGGAAAAGTGTACATCATTTCTCCCACTTGGTTTTTTTTTTCTGACTAATCTTTACCAACTCCTAAAGTTGAAATATTTTAAAAATGATTACTGCATCATTATCTTTTCTAAATATTGTTGTCCAAAGTCATTGTGACTATTTAATAGTGATCTTCCTGGGTATTTCCTGAAGCCAGTAGGAAGCAGTTGAGTCAGAAATAAAGTTGTATTTTAAATGGCCTATTTTTCCAAGAAGAGTTCATCTCTTTTTCATATCTGTACTTGAACAAATATGCTTTAAATATCTTGGCTAAACAAATCAAGCCATTTTATTTGTTTTATATGTTGACAAATTTCTTTTTCCTAAAAATACAGCTAAAATTATGCCCAAAGCATAAAATCAGTGAAGTAAATGCCAGGGCAATTCTTGGGTTGCAAATTCAACACTGGTTGATTCTGATGATGCAAATCATAGCTTTTGAGATATGTATTATTATATAATGTAATTATCAAATATATTTTCCCTCAAGGGTTCTGTCCCTTTGGATGAAAACAATGAGAAATTTATAAGTGTGGAGGGGACCACACACTTACTCATACATGATGTCTCTGTGGAGGATGCGGGCTACTACAAATGTGCCATAACATATGCCCACAAGGGCAGGCAATACAACGTCACTAGGAACGTCAAACTCCGCGTCAACAGTAAGTACTTACCACCAAGGTGCCTGTCCTTCCTGGTTCAAGAACAAGCATCAGAGCAAATTCGGTTCACAAAGAATCCCTAGAATATCTTTGGTATGAAAGCAAAGGAAAACAGATAGGACTGTCCAAAAGCATCAGGCTAATAAGCCATCAGGGTGGTGGTGTGAGGAAAGGTGAATTACCCTGAGTGGTAATAAGATGGAGGCTAAAACTCACCACAACGGTTTCCTTGGATATTTTCTTCCAAAAGTCAGCGTCAAAGATTTGCTCCTACAGGGCTGGCGATCAGAACACACCTGCTGCAACTTCATGTATAATTTAGAATATTAGGATTTTACTGGATTTTTCAACCAGAAGGTTCTGCATCAGCTTATCCAGTGGAAATTCCTTTCTCTATTTTTTTTTCTCCTAAGGTGTGTTGGGTGGCCTTTGGTACAGGTTGAGTACCACCAATCTGAGATACTTGGGACCAGAAATATTTAGGGTTTTTGATTGTTTCCCTCCAGACTTTGGGATATTTGCATATACACAATGAAATACCTTGGGAAGGGATCCAAATCCGAACATGAAATTAAATTATATTTCATGTACAACTTATGCACATAAGATTAATTTTATAAAGTATTTAAAATAATTCTATGTATGAAACAAAGTTTCATGGTGTGGAACTTTTCACTTGTGGCATCATGTCGGTGCTCAAGAAATTTCAGATTTTGGAGTATTTCAGATTTTGAATTCTCGGATTAGGGTTGTTCAGCCTGTACCAGGATTAATTATACTTGAAAACACTGTCGTGAACAGGATTGGCTAGCATTTAACATTTGCTGGACATATATTGCTTACCTCCTGTGTGCCAGACAAAGAGTTAGGTGCAAGGGGCAGAAGATGCGTGAGTCCTGGACTCTGTCCTGGGAAGTATGCCACTTTCCTTACCTACCGAATGGCACAATTGGATTCTTCTAAGGGGACTTATGGATGAGCCTGTGAGGGAGACTTTTCCTAGAGAATCCAGAGATTGTTTTATTATAAGGAAAATCACCTCTTCCATAAGTGGAAGTCCCTAGATTCCATTTCTTTTACTGTCCTGCAGAGAATTCATTCATATTAACTTCTTATTCCTCCACAGCCAGTTTGACTTGAGATGTTCTTTCAACGAGTCCCTAATTATTATCTCGCTCATGCGGTACTGCACAGGAACACTAGGGGGCGGCCGACTTACATATTACACTGCGTAGCGAAATGACCCTCTGCAGCGCAGTAACTCTCAAGGGTGGGTGGGGGGCTGGGAGGATTCTGGACCAGCAGGGGCCTCATCATCTGGTTACTGATTACTCAAGCAAAATCTCAGGTCTAACGCAGAAGTACTAAATTAGAAACTGGATGTTGAGGGGCTGCAATCTGTCTCACAAGCCCTCCCTAGGGAGAGGCTGGTGCACCCTCACGGTTGAGTCATTGAGATAAGCAGTCTGGGAGGCTTCTTTCTCTTACCTGACTGCCTCAACCTGCATATGATAGCAATGTGACGTTGAAAAGAGGAATAAGCCTCTGGCCACAGTCACGAATCCATCTGCTCCTCCGCCTATGCCTAATGCTTACTCACGGGAGGATTTCAAAATACCCTTTCACAGAAGGGAGGATGGTAAGGCCGGCGTGCAGACAGCTCCCAGCTTTCACAGCACCCATACCATCGTTTTTGCTCCACTTCAGGTGCCCAGTTTGTTCAAGCTGGTTCCAATTCCCAGAGTTTTGTCTCCTCAATTAACAAGACGTTTAGCAGCCACAGCTGGGTTACTGTATTTCTCACCCAGTGTGGGATTAGCTTTACAAACAAATGGCCTTCCAGCCCCTGTGCCTGCTCTTGAAGAAGCTTCAGTATTCTGTGTGGGCATCCTGGGGTGGGGGGACCTTTGTGTCGAACCTGTCCCGTGGGCATCATCAACACACATTCAGGAAGCCTGGGAAGGCAACGGTTAATGGTTTATCACGGAGGAAAGAACAAAGCCCGACTGTCAGAGGAATGTGTAACTGTGGCCTCTTCCAGTAATGTCTCTGCTGGGAAAAGCATTGGCCAAAGATGCTCGATTTCGTGGAGAGCCTATTTCCTTTGCCAGACAAAAGGTCAGTTCCCACAATGACTGGCCCCACTGTGAAGGAGAACTTGGTTGATTAGCTGAACAATGAAACCTGAGTCTCACATTGAAGTGAAGCCTTCCCTAATGGAATCTCTTTTCCTTACATCTTTCTCAGAAAGAAAAGAGGAGACCATTCCTGTGATTATTTCTCCCCTCCAGACCATATCAACATCTCTGGGTAAGGCATGCAAGTACTGTACAACCCATGGTCCTGCAGTGGTGCCTGAAATCACAGAGTCAGGGGGTTGGGACTTTGTGGCTGCTGACCACACCATACCTGTCCCTGTAGGGTGGCAGTGTGCCTGGGTGGGGACCTTAGAACCCAGTGTAGGGGCTGAGATGACAAATGGGAGGGAACATTTTTGTTGTTAAAAAATGACATTATTAGAAAGCAAGGATACTTCACTTCATGAATATTCTACCTACAAAAATTTAAATGTAGAAAGCTGAACATTTTGCCAGCTGTTATTAATTGTAGGAGAAGATGAACAGCACGAAACCCTCACAGAGCTTCACTTTTAGTAAATTTAAAGTAATTCACATTACCCAAATGTGGCTGATCTTTCTGAGACTCCATTGGTTAGGTGACTTCAGCAGTAGTCAGAGACAGTTTCTTGACACTGCAGTAGCTATCAATAGGTTGAGTAACATGTTGAAGATGTCCAGCGAAGTTCCCTTGTTTTCACCCTAATTGAGCACAGGCTGTCCTGGCCAGCACACTTCCTTTTCAGTCCCTCGTAGTAGGCAGTGAAGGTGCATAAGTGGGCCGTACTAACAGCAGTTGATGAGAGTGTTGGGTTGGGATGGCTGTGCATTGAGCATTTACGGTGTCTAATGGGATCTATTTGATCCCAACATCCTCTCTGTGGGAAGGTGCTAATTCCATTTTTCACAAGGAAAAACCTCCCAGGGAGACATGGCGGCTTAGAGAAGTTCAAAAAGCCACACTCAGGGGCAGGCTGGGCTACAGATTGAGGTCTGTATGTCAATAAGCACACCCTTTTGTGTCTTTGTGTTTGTATAATAGTCTGGTGGGTCTGATGCTCATTTATCAAGCCCTGGCTATGGAGTGCTTTAGAAAAATGGTTTTTCACTTCTGTTTGGCCTTGGGTTTGAGTTTTAAATTTTAAATGGAGGCCATAGGAAGAGGGCTTTTGAGCTGTTGCGGGGATAGCTGGCTGCTACATGAATTGCATCCTGCACGGCCACCTTGACTCTGGAAACTACTAGGAAACCAGGGTAGTGGGGACACTGGTTGGTGCTCCCTGGATGCCAGTGCCCCAGCTCCCAATGTCCCTCTGCTGAGTGAAACCCGGTTCCCCATCAATTGCTTTCAGCAGTGCATGGTGCGGTCATGTGACCTGGATTTAACCCACTCCCACGGCTGGGGGAAGCGTTTAAAGTCACTGGAGTGGCAAAGGATGGGGAAGAGAGGGCATTCTGAGCCTGAAGTGGGGCTAGGTGCATTAAAAGACACCCCATGAGATACATATTCCCAGGAGGAAGAAACAATTGGGCAGGATTTATTCTTTTCCTTTGGTGACTTACAAAGAGGCAGCATAGGGGTGTCCAGTGCCATCACATCACATAACTGTAGAGGGCGCTGTCCTTAGAAAATGAAATTGGATTTTTAGAGGGTTAATCCTAAATGCCAGCCACCTTGGAGTTCTCAGGGGGAAATGTTCATGTTGAGAGCAGCCGTGGGCAAAGAGAGAATCTGCACATGGATCTGGATTTGTTTTGGATCCATGGTGGAAGAAGGCAGCCACTGAATTCAGAAGGTCCCAGAGAAGAGGAGTGGTCATTGGTGAAGTCAAGCCGAATATTAAATAGTAACGCTCTGTGTGAACAGAATCATTTGGGGAAACTAATTTTCCTTCTAGAAAATAACTGGCCAATGAGGGGTGTTTGAGAAGACAAGGAGGGGGGTCCCCTGCTTTGGCTTGTGGACAGATGTGAGGATCTGGGGTGACTCTTTTGCCCATGCTGGGTGCTGATGCTGGGTGTGCGTGTCTTGCTAAACACAGGGTCCAGACTGACAATCCCGTGTAAGGTGTTTCTGGGAGCCGGCACACCTGACACCACCCTGCTGTGGTGGACAGCTAACAGCGCCCAAATCGAGAGCGCCTACCCGGGAGGCCGTGTGACCGAGGGGCCGCGCCAGTAAGTGGGTGAGGGCCTTCTGTCGTGAGACCTCTGTAGTTTTCCCTCTTCCTTCTGGAGACAATGTCACATCCAGCCTATCAATCTGACACACATACCACAGTAAAAGTGACTTTTGGGGTGGTTTCACAAAAAAGTAACTTTTGGGGTGCTTCTAGTTTGAGACTGTTTTGAATTTTAAAATTTCTATTTTGCTAAAAATTATCTTGAGAATCAAACTGTTTCTAGACCCACGTGAGTTAAGTTTCAGTTGACTAGTTGGTATGGATGTTGCGTTTTGTAGCTGTTTTTAAAGATTTATTTCTTGATTTTGCAGGCTTAAAAAAAAAAAAACCATTTTGGAGTTGATACATTTCCCTTTGCCACTTGTCAACCTCACTCTCGAATATTTTCATAAATTCGACAAAAGACTGAGAGCTAACTCCAGTATTTGTACGGATGCCTCTTCTTTTTCTTGGGGGGACTCGTAGGCTGTCAGAGTGTCTAATAAAAGAAAGAATGCAGTTCTCATAAGCAGTCATCTCCAGAAAATGTTTCCTCACTCTGAATCTAGAAGCACCAGACTTCATAAATGGGAGGCATTTGTGTGAGAGGAAGGGAGACCATTCCACGTTCCAAATCCTAAAGTGTTCTTTAAATTTATCGTTTTGATGCTTTGAATCAGCCTGAACTTTTGCTTGCTTTTCTTTTGTCTTTTTTGAAAGACGTATCAGAAAAATTCTTTCTGGATGCGAATTAGTAGATAAAAAGGTCGTGGATTAGAGTAACAGTTGGCTTGCGAGTCTTTGTTGTGGAAGACTTGGCCACGACTAAATGCCCTGTGCCAGCTCACTCATGCTATTCATTTACTTAAAGGAACACATTTTTCTTCCAGATAAAACAAAAGCAGTCCCAGTGGATCCATTCCACAAGGTTTTTATTCATGTAAATAGATAGCAGTGAAGTGTCTTCAGCTTCCGCTGACATTGTGAATGGCAGATATCCCCACTAGAGCTCTTCCACTCTGCAGCCCTCTGACCTGGACTAGAGTTTCAGAGTGACAGTTGGCAGTAGAAATGAGGAGGTGACACCGCTGAGGGATGGAGTCCTAGAGGTGCCCTCCTCTTCAATATGTGAATAATTTCTTGGTGAGAGACTCAAGATTCCCCTAAACAAATGTCTCTGTTCCCACTACTGGATCTTTGTTTGTCAAGGGTCTTTAAAAATAAAAATTTTGATTGGGCATGATGGACATGTTTGTAATCCTAGTGACTTGGGAGGCTGAGGCAGGAGGATTGCAAGTTCAAGGCAAGCCTCAGCAATTTAGTGACACTCTGTTTCAAAATAAAAAAAAAAAAAAGATGATAAGGGCTAGGGATATAGGTCAGTGTGGTACAGCATCTCTGGGTTCAATTCCTAATACCAGAAAAAAAGATTTTTTTTTTTCCATCAACCAAACCAAAATGAGAATGTAAGTTGTCAGTCTAACAGAGGTCCTATTACAATGACCAGCATCTTCAATGACACTCTGTCTTCTAAAAGAGGCTTAGAAATTCTCCCAGATAATTATGATGAAAAATTCTCCTGACTTTATGAAACTTTAAATCAATTTAAGCACAATGGGTGCTTCTAGTTTGAGACTGTTTAGATGCCTATGTTTATACCATGTGTAAGTGAATATTTTCTCACCTAGGGAATATTCAGAAAACAATGAGAACTACATTGAAGTGCCGCTGATTTTTAATCCAGTCTTAAGAGAGGATTTGGATACAGATTTTAAATGTGTCGTCCTTAATACACTGAGTTTTCAGACACTACAAACCACAGTCAAAGAAGGTATGTATATTGGGGACAGAGGAGAAAACAACACGTTGAATGGATGCTGAACAAAGCTACAGGTTCTCCAGAAGATTCCTTAGGTGGTCTTCTTGCATTGCCTGTTAGGGGAGCCCAGAAAAAAAATTTCCTTCATTTTTTTTTTTTTTTTTTTTTGGTGTGATAGAGGCTGGACATTGGGAGATCATACTCAAATACAAAGTTCAGATAGCGAGATAAGTTTTGGCAAAGGTTAAATAGCAAAATAATTTCTGCTATGAACTTTAAGCGACCCTGTGTCCTCCTGTGGTTCTGCCTTGGATCAACCAGGATCAGCTGTCCTCACATGGCTTCTAGAAGAGGGTGGGTCATTCTTTATCTTGAAGTTGAAAAATTCCATCCTACAAAAGCCGGATACTGAAAGACTCCAGGGTTCAGGGTGGCTTTAAGGTCAAAGCCATTAGGTTACAAGGAGTAAGAGCAAGGCTGTAGCCAAATTAACCCGGTGTCCACTTAAGGACATTGAAAAAAGGAAAGCAAGACCCTCATGTCATCATTTTTGACATTTTTTTTTTTTTTCCTGAACGTTCAAACATTGAGCAGGAAAGGGAGGTGCAGATGATGTCCTCTCTGTTGACAGACTGCAAAGACAACAGCCCCTAGCCCAAAGCAATTCCCAGCAGGGATCTCAATGATGCCTTCTGACTATGCTTGCACATGTCCACATTTTGCTAGGAGGAAACTGTTGGACATACTTTAATTTGGAAGTTTGATGATTTGGCCAAGTTTCAGGAGAGGTATCAACAGCCGGCACAGCTTTGCTCAGCTCTCTGTGCTACCAGAATTGCACTACCTGAGCCACTAGTTAAAAACACAGATCCATGGACTCTTCCCAAGTATTCCCAGGTGCGTTTTCCTGGTGGGCAGCTGAAGGTTGCAGTTTCCCAAACTCCTTGCCTATTGAAGTTTGAGAACCAGGACATATGTGTGAAGCGTGGTGTTTCTGATTATTTTCATAACGAGCAGGCTGGCAGAGAAGACAGTGAGATTGTCACTGTACAGATTTGGACATGGGGATCCCATAAAAAGCAGCTTCCTCCCTCTGGGAATCAGACTAGTGAGCCAAAGGAACCCGTGCTTCGTCTGGTCCTGATGCTGGAAACCTTTCACATTTTTCCTTCACCAGAGCCCTGTGTCTGTGTGTCCTTGGCTGGGCATGCTGTGACTGAACCCAGAGGGCACAGGCTGAGCCTTTCCTAAGGACCAATAAGCATATTCATCTGGCTGTTGAAAAATCACAAGCTTCATTTATTTCAATCTGGGTGAATTTTTAAGGTATAGGAATCCTCAGGAGAATCAGGTTGAGAGTATATTGATTCCTGAGTGTCTAACCAGACTATGGCAAACAAACGCTTAAAAAAGGTGAAATTCCAGCCTCAAAAACAATGTGTTTAATAACACCCTATTCCCATATTTACCATTTAACTTTTGGTTTACAGTTTCTTCCTATATTTCCATAACCTAGAGATGTCAAGGAATAGAATCTGCAGTTGCTGGATTTAAGCAATGATCTTGGCATCCGGGAACTTGACTCTAAGTTTGTTTTCCTGGGTCAATCCTCATGATCTCCATGCTCATTGAAGAAAGGCAGACAGTTCCCTGGCCAAGTCACAGATGGTTCACTGAGGTGTAAACAGACAGCATCTTAAGTGCACACTGTCCACATTTGGAACACTTGGTCCCTTGGCATGGGCCCCTACTTTGTGATGTTTTTGATTAACAGATCTTATCTAACTGGGATTGTGTCTCTATTGCCTCAGATGTCATTCTCAAATGTCCTTGATCTTGGCATAAGGAACCTACTTTCTGGAAACCAATGCACATTTATCTGCTTCCTTTTTTCTCAGCCCACCCTGCCCCTCCTGTTTTGCTGTGAGACACAGTTCCATCCTGATATGTCTCTGCTTTCCCCACAGCTTCCTCCACGTTCTCCTGGGGCATTGCGTTGGCTCCCTTGTCGCTGGTCTTCTTGGTTTTGGGGGGAATTTGGATGTACAGACGCTGTAAACACAGAACTGAGAAAGCACGTGGGCTGACAGCGCTCAAGACCGGCCTCTGAAACTTCCCGTCCCAAACCCGTGCAATAAAGGAAGTGGGAATGCCAACGCGATCACCATCCTCCTCCTCCTTCTTCTTTCATTGGTTCTTTTTGGTTGTATAAGACAGTAGAATCCATTCTGACATAATTATAGAAGCACGGAATACAGCGTGTTCTAATTCAGCCCCAGCACCCCTCCTTCCCCTCCCCTCCCCCACCCCTGTTCCCTTCCCTCTACTGATTTTCTGCCATTTATCCAGTTATTATTATTTAATTTTTTTTTAATTATAGATGGACACAGTATCTTTATTTTGTTTATTTAATTTTTTAAAAAAATGTGCTGGGGATTGAACCCAGTGCCTCACACCTGCTAGGCAAATGTTCTACCACTGAGCCACCACCCCTGCCCCCACGGTTATTTTTTTTTAAAAATTAATTTTGTGTGGATATTCAGGAGGGTGGGATTCCCTGTGGTGTATTCATATATGTACACAGGAAAGTCATGTCAGACTTATTGCACTGTCTTTCCTTCTCCTCTCCCCCCTCCCTTTCCTCCATACTGGCTGGGTCCTTTTGAGGGACTCTTCTTCAGTTGTTTAACAAAGTTGTTGGGGGGCTGTACTGGACTGAAGTCTTATAGTACTTATTTTTCTGAATCTCAGTGACAGGAGCAAATGTGCATATGGGTGGGCTTGAATAGCTTTCCGCTACTTGTGATGGATTTTAGAAAACGAGGAGTGGAAAACCTCTAAATGGATTTTGAAACTCATCTGTTCACTCATCAAAATATAAAGATTGTCTAGGCTGTGTGGAAGGTGGTGTAGATGCCTAGTTGACAGTTTGCCATTCAGAGCCAGAAGTCTTATTTTGATCCTGGCAGGGATGACTTAGAAATGCTCAGGCAGAAGAATCAATACAGTCGGTGAATTCTTTGGGAAAGATGATCCAAAAATAGTGATTAATAAAGAATTACGATGATCCCCAAAAGACACCAGCTGGAGCATATTGGCAATTGCAGAAATGGACCCAGCTTCATAACAACACTTCTGAAAACAAGAAGGACACTGAGATAATTATATGCAAATTGGAAAAAAATAGAACCAGAGCCTCTTTTATAACATACTTCAAAAGAATTACACACGGATAAATGGGTTGAATTAAAACAAAGACAAATGGCAGGAAGATCAGCCTGGCTCACTCTTTCACCTATTTATGGCATTTGATTATAGCAGCCCAACTAGATGAAGAAAGATACCTTTCATAAAACTTTATGTGTTAAGAGTTATTAATTCTTTCACTTATCTGACATGATTTCCTTCAAATTTTATCTTCGCTATTTTATTGTATAGAAATTGTGATTAAGTTTATCAGTCTTTTCTCTTGCAGTTAGTTCCCTTATGGGGAATGAACACGAAAGGTTCATCTTCTTTTCTTTTATTCCATAAATATTCACTAAATGCCACCTTCACAGGACTGGAGATATACCTGTGATCAAAACGACACAAATATGGCTCTGTTTAAATTTAAATGTGGCTTTCTCAGAGGCTTTTTCGTCCCCTCATGTTGCTTCATCCTTTGATACTCTTCCCACTGGACCTCCCAATGTATGTGTGCCTGCTCATTTCCTATTTGTGTTCCCCATCTGGATGGAAGATCTGCCAGGGCAGAGATGTCATTTTGATCACAGGTGTCTCCCCAGCCCTGTGAAGGTGGCATTTAATGAATATTTATCGAATAAAAGAAAATAAGATGAACCTTTCGTGTTCACTCCCCATAAGGGAACTAACTGCAAGATAAAAGATTAATAGGCTTAATCACAATTTCTACACCATAAAATAGCGAAGATAAAGTTGGAAGGAAATCATGTCAGATAAGTTAAAGAATTAATAACTCGTAACACATAAAGTTTCATGAAAGGTATCTTTCTTCATCTAGTTGGGCTGCTATAATCAAATATCATAAATTGGGTGGCTTTTAAAGAACAGAAATTTAATTCTCCCATTTCTAAAGGTCGAGAAGTCTAGGATCAAGATACCAGCAGATTGGGTGTGTGGCAAGGGCAGCTGGTTCAGAGAAGACTGTCTTCATGACTTGGTCACCCCCCAGGACATCACCTCCCATTACCACACCATAGGGGTTTAAGGTCTCCAAATACAAATTTTAGGAAGACACAAACATTCAGTGTAGTATAGTAGCTCGTCATCCTGCTAGAGACCGTGAGTAGGGAGCACATGGAAAGATGAAAATCAGAGATGCAAATTACAGCTGCTCAGAGATACCAAGGCTCAAGAGTGAGATCCAGGCTGTTAGGAAGCCATCACTTACACACCCTGTAATTCAGTTTAAAATTTGGTCCTGGGAAATACAAAGGCAATATGGACCAAGCCAGGGGTCCAGGGGGCCAACTTGCATCCACTTGTCAGGGCTAAGCATCTGCCTCTCTTCCCATCGCTGTTCAGTGATGTCACGTTGACAATTAAAAATCCACCATCATCAGAGAATTACCCCATAAAAATTGGCAAATGGCACAGATCAGCCCTCTCCTCCCCAGCATATCACTTTAAGAGTCAGACTGGTGCCAAAGAGGCCCAGGAATTCAGTTTAAGAAATAATCCCTTGAAAGAAAATGGTTAGATGTATGAACTAATTTAGTGAACGCTATTATTTGAATGATGAAAAATCATGCTACAATTATCGGTTATAACTGTCAAGATTGTGAGACAAATATTTATAATGTTAAGGGACAGCAATGCATTGTTTCATGCAGAATTTATGGTTACAGCAATATTGAACTTTGCATATGGACAAACAGGAAAGTTAGAAAGAAGAACTTTTAAGAGATTTTTCTGGGTCCAAGTCCAAGTGCTGCCCATGTGGTTTGGGGGCAAGTCCTTTAATCTCACAGTTCATTAATTTTGTCATTTGAAAAATGGGAATAATCATAGTAATTGTTTTGACTATTAAACTTTACATTTTATCTTTCCTTTAAAAAAATTTTTTTAACTGTCGTTAACTATTTAATAATTAAAACCAGAGTAGGAACAGACCAAAATTTAGAACAGTTGTACTGTTTAGACTGTGGATAAACTGCAGCCTGGGGGCCAAATCTGGTGTGCCCTCTGGTTTTATAAAGTGCGAATTATAGCTACTCCTGGTTGTTTACGTCCTGCCTTGGACTGTTTTCACTCCTTGAAGACAGAATAGTCGAGGAGGCAAAGTCTAAAATATCTACTCTCTGGCCTGTTATAGAACAAGACTGCCTCCCCCTGGTTTAGACTAAGGAAACCCCTGAAGGCTTTTGACCTCAGCTGTTGTATCTTTATCTCCTCTTCCATCCTTTCTTCTATTTTCTAAGCATGTGGTGGGGGTGGGGAGGAAGTAGGAAGAGGAGGCAGAGGCCTCTGAGCCCCTAATCAAAGCAGGATTTTATCCACTAAAGGCAGGAAACAGGTTTGTGATGGAAGGACCACGTGAGGACATCACCAATGGCTTCTGCATCTGCAGGTTGGGTACCATGGGGCGCGTATTTCTCTTCCTTCCTGGGACTCCTCCAGGGCTCTCTGGAGTTCCCCACCTGCAGATTCTGGCAGTTTCAGCACTGACCCAGAAAAGAAGCTGACTGCAGCCAGAAAGAACTGCTGACGACTTCTCAGAACCTCCGTCGGCAGCCCGGGTCTGTATTTCCTCCTCCCCAAGGGGCGCAGCATGGGGCCATGCTGTTTAGGAAGAGCACTACGAGCAGGGAGTTGTGAAGACTGGATTTATGCTCACCTATGGGATAAGTGTGATATTGGGGTTGATACAATTTTTAAAAAGGGTTGTTTCTTTGTAAGAGACATACTGAATTATTTATGGGATGATATCTGAGATGGGATTCAAAATTATCCAGGGCTGGGTGGAAGAGTAAACAAGGTTGGCCACGTGTTGATAACAATCGACACCCATGGTGGCTACTCTGGGCTCCTTAGGCCATTCTGTCCACTTTTGTGTGTATTTGAAAACTTGCTTAGTAAAGAGTAAAATGAAATCTAGGAGCAACCCCCATGAGTAGGGTACAGGAACCACAGTAAAATAGGGCGGTGGATTTTATAGTGGTAACTACTCTAATAAATGAACTGCTTGCAACAAAATATGGATGGATCTTTGAAATATATTATTGAGTCAGTAAGTCCAAGAAATGTTTGCTTATAGCTTGTTGCTCTTTGACATAAAGTGAAAAACAACTAAAACTAAGCTCTCTCACACACTCATACATCTGTGGTTAAAGTTGTGTCACACACGTGCTTTTACATGTGTGTGTGGATAGTGATGATGTCAGGCAACAGCCAGGGGACAAGAACTGGGATGGATAGGAAGATGTAAGTTGCATGGGGTTCTTCTTGGTCTCATGTTGGGCAGAGGATTTTTATTGTTTAACTTATCATCAAATAAACAGATGAAGAAACAGGTCCTTCAGGGACCAATGGAGAATGTGCATATTGAATCAAGGATCGTGATTAACCTAACTCTCTGCACCTGAGTCCATGTTAAACCCACAAGTTGAACAAGTTGGCTTCTTAATGTGACTCATTTCGGTTAGACTGAGCCTATTGTTTTAATCTTCAAAAGGTTAAACTGTGCCTTTATGAAAGATGCAGGGAAGGGGGAGACGAGGAGTGGAAACTTGGCACTTCCTTGCACTGCCTCTGAGAAATAAAGCAAGCCCTAGGTGATGTGATGTCACCTCTCGAAACTAACCAAGGACAGCAGGGGATAGCCCCAACAGACACAAATAATTATTTATGCACTAAAAGGTAAATTGGATGTCTCCAGTATTTCAAATATCTGTGAGAGAGGGTAGGGGTTCTTATAAAGAAAGAGTGGGATGTGTAGTTCCTGTAAAATTCTCAGGGCAGGGGTTTTCTTGCTCACTGATGCAACCCCAGCACTGGGCCCATCGTCTTGGTACTGGTGGAAGGCAATTACAGAGTGTCTGCTGTGTGGACAGATGACCCATTACTTGGATTTTCCAGGCCTGTGTGAACAAATGGGGTCCTGTTAGCAGCACTCAGCTAAATTCCTCTTTTGCTCCTGCTCTC